CACACACACACACACACACACACACACACACACACACACACACTGCCTTTACTATTGCATTTTCCCAAACAGAGGACTATTAAGGAGGTGTATGCCTAGACCTGAATTTCAGTAGAAGCTCGGTGCCTAATTCCCCTAGGGTCCTTCTGAAAATCCCAGCTGGAAGGGTTTGAATGTGCTTATAAGCATGCTGCTCATCACTGTTCTTTGGAGAATATTCACCCAGCAGCAGAGAGCTTTCACAAGTCCCGAAGCCCCACTTACAACTCCTGTTTTAGGCTGAATTTTACCCACTGAGGTACAGCAAGCCAAAATGGGGGAAGACTTCCTCTTTAGCTCAAACTCTCTTGCACCTCTAACCTCCCGACAATTCTGTTGGAATAAGGTGAGCGCATCACACACATACTCTTTCCCTCTTTGACCACACCTCTCCCCAAATCTGGTCACATGTGTCAGATGTCTTTGGTTTAGGGCCCAATCCAGTTGGGAGGCAGGCTCAGAGCATGCCTGATTGGGCCCTGCAGGTGAGAGAGGTGGGGGATGGCCTACTTTGAAATCCCATGGGGTTTAGTCATGAGCTAGAGCACCAAGCAGCTCAGCAGCATCAGGATTTAGGCAGGTTTGCCCAGGCCCACCAGCAGAAACTGAGGTGCATGGGGACTTTAAGTGCCTATAGGGTTAGGCAGCAGCTGAATGGGAGATTTGAGGATCTCAGTGCTGCCTAAATGTTGGACTTGGGTGCATAAGTCCCATTGTGGATCTGGCTGTGAGTGACTTGCCCAAGCTCACAAAAGAAGTCTGTGGCAGAGCCAGGAAGCTAGGATGAAAGCCCCGATTCTGACAGATGTTGGGGGAAAATGTATTCCAGATCAGGACCTTTAGCTCGTCACTAACCAGGGTAGACTGATTTATATGCAGAACCTACCTTCATACAACTCTCAGAAGCCAGGGATATCCTTGCCAATTGGGAATGTGGTTAACTTATTATTTGGTGATGAAAGTGTTCATTTGAGCAGGGATGTTTACACTTGCCATTATTAAGGCTAAGATTTTGTCATGGTTATTTTAGTTAGTCATGGACAGGTCACAGGCAATAAACAAAAATTCACTGAAGCCGTGACCTGTCTGTGACTTTTCCTGCTGCAGCTCCATGGTTTCTCCCGCCAACGGGGTGGTTGGGAGCTATGGGGTTCCCCCTCTGCCTGCGGCAGCTGGAAGCTGCAGAGCCCCCCCCTCCCCCGCCACGGCGGCTGGAGCTGCAGGGTCACTATATTTCCCAAAGAGAAAACGGGACACCGCCAGCCACTCACTCAAGGTGTCCTCCTCCCCCTGCACGAGGCTGTTGCCTGTGGCTGGAACCCCGAGGAGGGCCCCCTCAGGAGTTTGTCACCTGTCGCTGGAAGCTTGCAGGGGGGCCCCTGTCACTGCAACCCTGTCAGGGCCCTGCTGGTTGACAGCTCCTGGGGCTGAAGCAGAAAATGTCAGATCTCTAGAAATCAGATTCCGTGACTTCCACACCTCCATGACATAAACATAGCCTTAGCCATTATACGTGCAAAAATGCAGAGAATATTGACTGCAACAACAACAAATTGGAATTGCTAATAAGTTACATGCATTTTAGGGATCATTCTTCTATTGTATTAGCAGTATGGGAGCTATCAGATTCATTTCACACTTTTCATTGACCCCTCTTATGCCCTCACTGAGTGGGTAACTTTATTCTTTGACAGGTAACCCAGAACTACATATGTGGTAAGTAAGCCAGTTAATACTGGACACGTTGGGAGTGCCAGTTCTGTTGCCACCAAACAAACATATATTTTAACAAAAGTGGCAGCGAATTTCACCTCTCCTATTAACAATGCTTTACACTTTAGATTGGGGGGGGGGTTCCCCTCTTCTTTTTTTGTAAGTCTCCCCTTATGAGTATGTAACCATTCCATCCATTTAAGTGTCTTGATCAGATCGTTTTTAGCAAGATAATCCAACACATAGAAGTTTTGCCAGAAGCTGAGAATGGGCGACAGGAGATGGATCACTTGATGATTGTCTGTTCTGCTCAATCCCTCTGAAGCTCCTGGCATTGGCCACTGTCGGAAGACAGGATACTAGGCTAGATAGACCTTTGGTCTGACCCAGTATGGCAGTTCTTATGTCTAACATATAGTTAGAATTATGCAAATTGGAATTCTGATCTAGCTTCCAGTTAAGTAACACTCCAAGTAGGCTCAGGATTACTTTTATATGCTTAATTTTTTTACCTGCCAGAGATAGGGCTGTATTTTTTTCACTCTTGATCTTTGTCTCTTATAGGAGCTGATGCAGCAGAATGCTATTGGTTATGTATTAAATGCAAGCAATACCTGTCCAAAGCCTGACTTTATCCCAGAGTCTCATTTCTTGAGAGTTCCTGTGAATGACAGCTTCTGCGAGAAAATTTTGCCTTGGTTAGACAAATCAGTTGATTTTATTGGTAAGAAGATGAGATATAATAGCTCTATGCTAATTATGCCATGTATTTTTTTAAAGCGTTTTTATCCATTTTAATTCTTTGATTATTTTTTTTGCTAAGTGTCTCATTGTCTTTTATGATGAGAAAGTAAACAGAAGCACCTGATCTACCTTCCATATTGCAATTGTCATTTTATATACCACTCTTGTATCCCTACCCATGCATCTAAACTCAGCAGTCCCAAACCATCAACTTCTGCTCCAACTCAGGTCTCTGTCTCTAATTATGTTCTTGCCTATCTGTGAACCCCTTTCATTGCTGCTCTACTTATTTTGAGATAGAAGAGTAGATCTGAACATGTTATTCAGGCACCATCAACTTTATTTAATAGCACAATAATATTTTCATTATTTTTGTTCATTCTCGATGTATACTGACATGTTGCTTATTTTTGGCGGGGGTGAGGGGAAAGAGCAGTGCTACACACTGACTAGATGTTTTTGTGGAGTTGACACTGAAGACTTTCTCCTGAGTGGTTACAGTTACGTTGAAACGTTGTTGGGTTTTAAAGTACACCTGTACCCCGATATAACGCTGTCCCTCGGGAGCCAAAAAATCTTACTGCGTTATCGGTGAAACCGCGTTATATCGAACTTGCTTTGATCCGCCGGAGTGCGCAGCCCCACCCCCCCGGAGCACTGCTTTACCGCGTTATATCAGAATTCGTGTTATATGGGGTCGCGTTATATCAGGGTAGAGGTATAGTTCAATTGCATTTATCAGCATAAAAGGCAATGCCACATACAGGAACAAAATTACATGTATAAATATAAGTGTGCATGTGTGTTTTTAAAATATATAAATATATGCAACCATTCTGCCATCAGAAAACGTTCATTAGCTGGTAATCTTTGGAATAAGTAATGCTGTACCCTACCTACATGGTCTCTCTGTTGGCTAGGAAACAGCCTGCCTCTCTACATCACACTAACAGTTAAGAAATCTGCTGACAATTTGTAGAGGGGATTTTTAAGGTCCTGGAAGCAGTAGGAGCATCAGCACATACCATAGCAGTGCCATAAAAAGGGAAGTAGAGTTAAGCGCCAATTGCAGAGTCCTGCTGAACACACATGTAGCATTACATAAATGTCATGTGTGAACAAAGAACTCTGCCATAAACTTTCTTAAAGGGACATAGGTGGGTCAAATTTGGCTTCAGATTTAGGATTTTTGTAAAAATAAGCTTATCCAAAAGCTAAGAAACGTAACCACAGATTTTCTGTACAATTGGACAGAAGGCTTTTAACAAATAAACAATTTTATAGTGACTTAGCAACAGCATTGTAAGGTTTTCATTCTCCAGCGCAGATTAAAAGGACAGTTGACATTGACTTTACCTTTTGCATATGTCTTAGCCTAGATCATAGAATTCCCCCCGGTCACGTACCATGTGATGTAACTAAAATTTTTAAATCATTGCTCTAAGTATGAGTTCAGTATAAATGTAAATTTTGGCTTCAGAAGAAATGGAAAAATAAAAGTTTTGAGCTCCTCTCTTTTTTCCCTTCTCTTGTATCATCTCCTCCCTGATCCAAAACAAAGAGAGGGTGTGTGTGTGTGTGTGTGTGTGTGTGTGTGTGTGTGTGTGTGAATGTTACAGGTTTCCTTAAAAATCTGCATGAAGAGCTTGAACTTTCCAACACATTAATGATTAAGCTCCCATTGAGTTCATCGGGTGCAGGACAACAAAGCTATTGCTCCATCAGATTTTTTTTTTTTTTTTTTTTTTAAGGAGAGAGTATTGTGTTTAGAGCAAGAGGGAGGAAGCCGAGAGCGCTGCACTTTCAGGTCCTGCTCTCAGCTTTGACACTGACCCACCACGTGAACTTAGTCAAATCATTTAATTTGTGTTGCATTTTATTCATATATAAAATGGGAACAGATCCCTCCCACTGAGTCCTTGTCAGGATTATTATTTAGTGTATCGTGAGATGGTTTCTGTAATGCTGTAAGTATACAGTAATATTCTTAATACAAGAACAGATCAACATGGGTACATGAATGAAAGAGAATGTATCAGTCATAACACTCATTTCTGCTTGAAGCTTCCATGGGATCTGTAATAAAGAGTGAACTTTAAAGTTCTATCATTTTAACAGGGAGCTTTTAAATATTTCATCACCCTGTGCCATTGACAGTGACACTTCTTGAATTTTTCTTTTTGTTGTACAGAGAAAGCAAAAGCCTCAAATGGGCGAGTTTTAGTGCACTGTTTAGCAGGGATCTCCCGCTCCGCCACAATTGCAATTGCATACATCATGAAGAGAATGGATATGTCCCTTGATGAAGCCTACAGGTAAGGGTAGACTTTTCCTTTTAAATGAGCTTTTGTGCTTGTCAGCTTGAAACTTATTAACATTATTTCATCATGTATTCTTTCCTCTTCATCCAAGAATGCCTGAAGTTACTCTTGCTTTAAGTATGGACTTCCTGCAGACTCACCTGCCGTTGTTTTGTAGGAAGTAAAAACCTAACATTGATGTGGACACAGCAGCAAAATGAGGACAGACACATGCATGGAATGAAGCAGAAGGCTGCAACTTTTATTAAATTTTAATACAGGAGGGGCACTACCCACCCATCATCCATACTCTCCTATACCAGGCATTTAATTGGTTCCAGCGTGGGGGTTACAGGGCTTCTTACCATATAACCCATAACGAGGGGTGGCTTTCTTCAGCCGACCCCTCCTGCCCCCTGCTCTGAGTCCTAGCCTCCCTACCCCCCCCTACAAGGGGAACAGAGGCTGCAGCAGGCTAGGGACCTCCGTCCGTGAGGGCCACAAGGTCTGACCTATCACATGAGCCCAAGGCCCATCACCAAAATTCCAGGTATTTTACTTGTGGGAACCATTCATTTTATATTCTCAACTGCACTGGAAATGGGCCTCAAGTTGCAACAAATAAACTCTACCTCGGTTAGGTACTAAGCATATTGCTATTTAACCCACTGTGGCTTGAAGGTGCCACAAAGAAGACAAAAAATTCCCTGGTCCTCTGCCAGTTCGTCCATGAGAGAGAAAATTCCTTCCTGATCGCCTAGACCCTGTTTAGTCTATCAGCATCTGTCAGACCAGGTTCCCATTTCTACTTCGGGTGGATAGGGTGAGCTGCTGAAATGGAGCCAAAAGAGGCTCCACGTGGCCCCTGTGCTGAGCTAAATCCTGAGAGCTGGGGAATGGTGGCCAATCAGCACCTTTCTCCCCCAGCTGGCCAATGGGTGCCAGAGACCCCAGGAGGAGAAGCTACCTATTGTCCCTTCAAGGGGGAGGGATAGCTTGGTGGTTTGAGTATTGGCCTGCTAAACCCAGGGTTGTGGGTTCAATCCTTGAGGGGCCACTTAGGAATCTGGGGCAAAATCAGTACTTGGTCCTGCTAGTGAAGGCAGGGGGCTGGACCTGATGACCTTTCAGGTCCCTTCCAGTTCTATGAGATAGGTATATCTCCATATATTTGGTGAGTGTCTCCCTCTCTTGCTACTGGGACTGTCCCCCCTTTCACCACTGGCCCCATCAAGTTCCCCCACCCATTCATATGGGTGTGTGGCAGTTAGCTCCCAACTGCAGAATATAGTCTTGGCCTCTGCTCTGTAGGTAAGGGGTAGAATGTTAAATAATAGTAATAGCTAGGAAGAAATAGAATACGCAGATGAGACCACATATAGGCCACCATCTAGTAGTCTGTGCCAATATAAGCCACAAAGAGAGAGGAGAGAAACCAGAATAGCAAATGTTGTTTATATAGTGTGTGCACTTTTTAAAATGCTAGATTGAATCTAATGATTTACCGGTGGTATTGGATGATGATCACAAATGGCTGTAGTGAAGGTCTTCTAGGAATTAAGTAAACTGAAAGATGAATCATTTGTTGCCATTGAAGTCCGTCAGTGATCATTCTGAAAATCTTTTGAAGTGACCGTTTTTTGGGCAGCCAAGGATTTTGTACAAGAATTGAGCTCTGTTTCACATGAGTCGGCAAGTTTGGAATCTAGTTTGACTGTGAATGCTTTGGGAAGGTTGAACACAGGCTTGTTACCACCATTTTTGTACTTTATTTGACAAACATTTTGTTGTTCTCAATGCCGCAGAAAGCCAACCTGGCTTTCTTTTTGTTCGCTTTTGAGTACGTGGTTATCTGTAATGTGCACTGTAAGCTCCCAAGAACATAATTTTGAACAGCTGCTGCTGAGCTGGTAAACATACCTTGCAAATTACTACAGGTGTCGCTGTGATGGGAAGAAAGGTATTTGAAAATCTGCCTGTGAGTAACTTCTATTTGAGTGGCAGAATTTCTTCTGGATCTAACCAATATTTCATGAGAGGGGGGATAGAAACTCTAGTTTTTAAAGGCTGCTCTTTACAGAATGTGGGAGATGTATCATGCAAGATCTGAACACTGCACCTCCTCAGAACTAGTTAGGAACCTACTAATGCAAAGGAACTTCCATTAGATATGGTGAAAGTGGCGCAAATATGGGATGCTGATGAACAAACTAGGAATTAGACAGGACATAGACAAAAAATACATGGTTTATGTGCAGTGATTACCTGTTTCACAAGGCAGACTGAGATTCTGTGTTACAATCACTTTAGGTTGGCAATACTGGGAGAAATGAAACTGGAGCTGTATGCATGACAGAAGTCTAACACCTTTTCTAATGAGATTTCTCATTGGCTATAAGCACTCGCAGTCAATTGAAGGAGTGTTTTCTCCAAACTTTTGCAATGAATTCTCGCATGTCAGTGTCAATCAAGTCCACAACTTCTGTGCAAACTTGTGGTAAAGGACTTTTTTTTTTTTTTTTTTTTTTTTAAGCAGTTGTTTAGCGTTGTTTTGGTGCAAAGCTTTTAAAAATGAAAATCTACAAAGGTCATATTTCATTTTCTGAATTAGTGAAAGGTAGAAGATAAACAACTATAAAATAACTTGTCTGAAACCTTAGATTTACATTTGTTACAAGTAAAATCCAAGTGAAGGATCAAAGTATTTTCTCTAGTTTATTTTGTACATCTGACTACCGTATAAGGAGAAACATCAAAAATGACTAAAATCAATCCATTTTGTTTGATTAAAGAATGAATTAACATGCTTGTAAAACCCCAAACTGGCATGTTGTCTTGTATGTTTGCAGAACTACTACATTTTCCTTATAGTGTCCCTTTAAAAACAGCTTTGGGGGCCTCTAGCAGCACACAGGGCAGAAGTGCCAACATGATGGAAAGAAACTACTGGGTTAATCCAACCAGGGCAACCAGCAGAGAGGAAAACAATTAGAACAAAGATGGTATGAAGTCAATGACTGAATTCCTGAACACATTAGAATGAAGTTCCTTGCTCAGGAGATTCTGAGCTGGAGAATTGTCTGCAGGATGTACCATTTCTCCCAGCTGCCAGAGAATAATGTGGATGCATGTGTGAGGGTGGTAGTGTCAGCTGCCATTTTATGCTCGTTGTCTGATCTTCCCATTCAAATTATTATTATTATTATTATTTTGCCACTAGTCACAGGATTAGCACTGAAAGGGTTCGCATACATTGTAATCAAAAAGTTCCAGGTCCTCTCCATGACTGGTAGCGGTGGCTACTGCAAAACAGACCAAACAAAAAAAGGAATCTTTTGTGTTTTTGTAGTTCTTTATTTCATGGTTCTGTAACTTAGTTATATGGATTTTTCTGTTTTAGTCTGACTGGAACAGTTTCTTGTGGAGACTTTTTTTTGTGTTTAGCTTTTTTAATATCGTAGTATATTTTGAGTGTTTTACTTTTCCGCATGTGTGTAAGAGAAAATGACTTTCCTCTAGAGTTCACTAGTTCTTGATGGTTTTTGCTCCTCTTTTAATACTCTTCCTCACCCCATTTCCTAGACTTCCAGATTTTTGCCTTTCCCTGGTGGGTTTTTATATTTTCTCCTCCCACCCAATCCATGATCACAGGGACAGATGCATTTGCTGCCACTCCCACTTATACTGGCTGTTTGTGATTGCTCCTGCCATTTTGTTACTTGTGTAATTCCAGGAATGAAAACACAAGTGGGGTTGGACTCCTGTGTTGGCACGTACATTGACAATGGTAACTTCTTAGAGCCTGTAAAGAACAGGTAGTATTCATAGGCTACAATGCAAATCAAACAAGTTGTCAAGAAGTAACTGTATATAACTTCAGAGGAAGTGTTTGCCAAAACTTCAATATTGAACCTCTGTTTACTTTTGGAGTCTAATTTAGCAAATGTACTTTCTTAACTTTATATATTTTAAGTTCATCCGGTTCAATACTGGATGCTTAAATTTAAGCATGTACATAAATTCCATTGATTCCAATAGGATGTAAGGCGTTGTTTCAGTGCTTTACTGAACAGGCATGAAGCAAATTTTTACAAAATTGCCAGCCAAGGAACTAGGGGGGGGCGGAGGAATCTATTTCTGAAAAATTCTGAAATGTTGACATAGCCCAACTGTGTTGCATTTTTATATTTAATTAATCAAATGATATAAAAGTCAATTAATTTTCAGTTGGCTGAAGATAGAAAGACTGATGCATCATAGAAGCCAGTGGTCCTTGTTGCACAAATTAGGCCCAAGATATTGCAGAACAGGCTGACCCTGCCTACAAGAAGATAAAAACGGGATAGAGAGAAGGTCAGAAAATGCTAATATTAGCAAGATAAACTAATTTAAAATAATGAGAGAGAGTTAAAGGTGATCTACGAGGAAGAGGGGGGAAAGAATGAAGAACTCTTTTCTTTAATATATGAAGAAGGTCTGAGAGGCTCTTAAAAAAAATCCAGCAAAACAAGTTATCCAGAACCAGAGAATCTGAAGTAAAAACTTGCACAGAATAACCCCAAGCCCCTGTTAGGTTTTCTTTATATATAGTGAGGAAGTAAAAATAAAGGCACCTTTTCCCCCCTCTTCTTTAAGAAGAGCTGTGTAAACTGTAAAAAGGAGAGAGAATATGTTGGGTTGTCTAGTTGCTTACGTTTGAGTCGTTCAATTCATTGCTCTCCCTGCCTTTCCCATGCATCCATTAGTGGTGCTTCTTTGAACCTGACTCCAAATATCTTAACAAGAATCAAGACACCCCAAGGACTGTAAGCCTCGTACTCTGAGTGGGAATATTATTCACATTTTAAACAGTAGGGTTTTTAAATAATTCTTGCATTTTCTCTTTAGATTTGTGAAAGAAAAAAGGGCAACAATTTCTCCCAACTTCAATTTCCTGGGCCAGCTTCTGGATTTTGAGAAGAAGATTAAGAACCAGACTGGGCAGCCTGGACCAATTAGCAAGCTGAAACGTTTGCATTTGGAAAAAAGCAGTGAGCATGGACTGGTCCCTGAAAGTGGACAGAGCAGTGGCCTCTCCACTAATCAGCTTGGCACTAACTCTACCTCCGAGCCTGTGGAGCAGAAGCCAATGGACTCTGGAAGTCTGCCATGCTCGCACTTGCCAGCATTAGAGGATAGCCCGCTGGTACAGGGCATAAACGGACTCCATGTGTCCTCTGACAAGGTAGAAGATAGCAACAGACTGAAGCGCTCATTTTCTTTGGATATCAAATCCGTATCCTACTCAGCAAGCAGCAGCTGTGTGACTGCATCGGTGCAGGGGTTTGCAGCGTCCGAGGACACTTTAAAGCAGTTGAATGTTTGTAGTATTCTAGATGGCGGCAACAAGCTGTGTCAGTTCTCCCCTGTCCAGGAAGTTTCAGAACAGACGCCAGAGACCAGCCCCGATAAAGAGGAGGCAAATCCTCCTGAGAAACCTCAAAACGCCTGGCAGCTGGACAGCCAGAGCAAGCGGCAGCACATGGGGAGAACCGGCAGCGGCAGCACAATTCAAAGGTCACTGTTGTACCCGCTGCATCGGAGTGGGAGCATGGAAGACAACTACAGAACAAACTTCCTGTTTGGTCTTTCCACCAGTCAGCAACATGTGGGAAAGTCTGCTGCTGGGCTGGGCCTCAAAGGCTGGCACTCTGACATTTTAGCTCCTCAGACATCCACCACATCCCTTACCAACAGCTGGTATTTTGCTACGGAATCCTCACACTTCTACTCTGCTTCTGCAATCTACGGGAGCAGCGCCACTTACTCTGCTTACAGCTGCAGCCAGTTGCCCACTGGCTGTGACCAGGCCGGCGCTGTGCGCAGGAGGCAGAAGCAGAGTGACAGAGGTGATTCAAGGCGCAGCTGGCACGAGGAAAGCTCCTTTGAAAAGCAGTTTAAGCGAAGAAGCTGCCAGATGGAATTTGGGGAGAGCATCATGTCAGAAAACAGATCCCGAGAGGAACTGGGGAAAGTGGGCAGCCAGTCTAGCTTTTCGGGCAGCATGGAAATCATTGAGGTATCCTGAGAAATGGCAGACAATTGTGACACTGTAGCTGGCTTATTTTTCCCGTTGTTTAAAACAATTCCCTGTAAATCTGAAATTATTTTAAAAACTGGGGCTTCAGTGTGAAGGCAATGAATAGATTTATACCAGACATGACAAACTAATATGTGCATGGGGGAGAGCCGCTGTATTTTTGTTTTTTCTCCCCCTCCCACTTAAGGTGGAAGGCCAGATGTTTCAGAAGTTTTCCCTAACAGATGAAGCAATTATATGTGACAAATTGCACATCCTTTAAACGAAGCTTTCTTAGTGACTGACAGGCCATCTCCCTGGTTCCACTGACACACATTACTAAAAATCACAAAAACAAATTCTAGCGCCCCTCTTCAAATCCTCCCTTCCCCCCGAAATCAACAGTGCACCTTAGCCCTGAGACTGAGCCGACTTCTGGAGAGAGATCCTTTTCCTTAAGGACAGAGACTAGTTATGAATCCAAACAAGTGGCGACTGATCACAGCAGGGCTAAGCTAAAAACAAAGCTCAGACAATGTAAATATTGATGTAACTATCATTCTAATGGACAGGTTTGAGGTGACTTGCCAGAAAGCTGCTTTAGAGCAAAATCATACCTCAAAAAATAAATAAAGCTTTCATGGCTACCCACTCTCTGGTAGTCCGTTTGCAAGCAGTGTGAATAGATGACTGGCCACACAGTGAGACTGATTAAAGCTGCCTACGCACAAGTTCCTCAGTTGGCTTAGAGACCAGTGGTAAAATTTGATCTTCTCAAATGTGCTCACTCCCCAGTTCATTTAAACACAAAACCAGACAGGGTTTTTTAGTGTGTGATTATGAAGTTGGCTTTTGAGGTGTGGATCTGTCACCTCTAAACCTGATACTAAAGGAAGAACTGAATGCTGGTAGCATGAATGGTGGATAATATTTAGGGCTACGTGCAAGAGATAAGTGGCTGAGTGCAAGTAGCGCCATCCCTTTGTCTACTGAAAATTAATTGGTGAGGAGAGAGCAGATTTTTTTTTTTTTTTAAAGAAAATTGGTAGGAGCCTTGGATTTGTCCTCTAGAAATGTAGTAACAGTGTGAGAATTGCCCCATCTGTGCTTTTCCCTTTTCCCAAAAGGGGAAGGCTTAGTCTCTACTTCCCACCTTTAAAAAAAATAAATAAAAGTAATTGTTTCCACATCCTTGCCCAAATCTTGAGGATTCGCACATACCTAGGCATGTACACATCCCTTCTTTAATCCTCAAACTTTGTCAGACCCACTAACTTCAGATGAGAAGTGGAGCAGCCTGTTAAGATCAAGCCTCCCTCATTTAAGAGGGACAGAAGGGGTTCCACATTATTATCCTTCATGGGTTGGGGGTAGAAGATGGCATTTAAAGAAATAAGATTTAAAAAGAAAAATCAAGACCAAGTGCTGGAGATAGGAAATTCTTTTATGACATGTTATAAGCTAACCTGAGAACCTGACCATTGAGGTTCTGTCTCTATCCCCACTGTAGGGCTTCTATGCTAATACAACATAGTTTTGCTGATGGCAAGAGTTGTAAATCCTGCCACTGCTGGATTTGTTGTTGTTGCTGGCCAGTACCTGTTTCAGAGCCTTAACTACCTATTGGAGATTCCTGCTAGGGAATCTTGTCATTTCCTTGCTGCCAGAGGAGACAGGGATAGGGCTTGTTCATTTATTTTATTTTTATTTATTCTGAGAGGGAGAGAACCAGCTGCTTTCTCTCTCCAGCCTGATATTCTTGTGGTACTCTGGCTGCCACTTCCCCAGGCCACTTTATATGCCTTGTTAGAGGATTATGGTATTAAAACAACAAATGATACGCAGGGGTCTAACATGCTTCGTCGTTCAGTCCAGGGTTGTGACAAAGATCACAATGTGAAAATTCTCAGATCCCTACAGTGGCCTGCAGTAGGTGTAGGGGAGGGGGAGACGTGTAGGACCCACTGTTTGTACAGTTTCAGTGCAGGCAGCTGAAAATATAAAATACTTTTAAATGATTAACTGCTTTTTAAAGCAGTTGGCTGAGGTTTTGTCAGTTAAGATCTGGTAGTCACTGAAGCCCTAGTTCAAGTCAGCAGCTTGTTTTTGTTCTTTAAGAGTAGCTAGTTGGTGACTCAAATCTCAGGTTTTACTATATTGAGAAATGGACAGGATTGTGTCTTTGTTTTGTTTGTGGCTAGGATGTGACTTAAATGTCCTATGATGGACTTGTTTTAAACTAGCACTGAGAGAAAGCTACAGAGTTGATTAACTTGATCCTAAAGAGTGCAAGACACACAGACTGCAACTGGAATGGTTGAATCCATAGACTGTGTTTGTTATGTGTGTATGAAATACAGGAAGGGAGGGTAGTTTGGGCAAGCATGTAGGTTGATACCACATTGTAAAGCATATCAGGTTTTGGCTAATCACTACCCATACTGCCACTTGTTTTATATAGCAAGTGAAAGTGATGTTCAGCCTATAAACACACAATGTGTGTAATATACAGGATACATGTGATCCATTTATGAGATCTCATGTAAACCAGATTTCAGTTACAACCACTTTAAGTAACAGTTGAAATCAAATGCTTCACAAGAAGGGGGTTTGGAAACTATTTTAAAGACATCCCTGCCAGCAGAAACAAAGCTGAGATCTTCCAGGCTTCTGCTAGGAGACTTTTTTTTATTTTTATTTTTTTTTAAACCCTCTTTCTTGGAAACTGAAATCTGGTCTCATTGCAACTCCTCATAATTCCAAACATCCTCGAATCAACAGTTAAGTGATGGCTGCAGGATCAGCAGTCTATGGGATTGGGCTGTTGAGCACACCACCATGGGAGAAAGAAGCCTTGGAACCTGTCTAGTAGTGGTATCTCCTTATCTCATTTCTGTACTCGTATCCTGTACCTGAGAGATGCTAGAAAATGGGTTTAAGAAGTTTGGAAAGTGAGATGGAGGCTGGTGGGAGAAGTGTGTAAATGTTTAATCTGAATATAATGTTCTTTGGTGTATGGCAAGCTGTTTAAATGGTTCAAAGATGAGTTTCTCATCTTGATGTGTCATGAGCATTACTTGTATGTTATGATGAAATAAAATCAGAAGTGGTACCTGTTTCTATAGAATGGCTGTGAGACTTCTTGCAGTCAGCTGCAGAGCATGCACCTACCTGTCTGCATACAACACAGTTCCAAGCAACCAGGAGGCTGGATCTTTCCCAACGGCTGCTTCTGGTCATCTACTTATTAATTACAGAATGGGTAGCTTTGTTGAAGTGGAGGCGAACAAATGTTGAACTTTAACTGAGCTTAGTCACACCTAGCAGTCGGTAGTGATTCTTCATCTTCAATGATCATTTGGTGTTCTTGCCTGTTACCACACACCCTCTTCCCATTAGAACAGCAACAGCTGTTGTATCCTTGTGTTAACCTTTTAAACTGTCTATTACTGTTAAACACAAATGCCCGGTGGTACTTGCTTTACAAGGCAATAATCCAGTTTCCCAAGTGGATATACTGAGGCTTTGTAGAACAGCTGTGCTACTGGTCTTGCAGCAACTATTTCACTGTTTAAATTACCTAGGGGCCGGGGGAGTGCCTCATGTGCTATGCTCTCGTACTGCCCTTCCCCTAGTTTGTGTAGCATGACGGATAACTGCTTTGACTGATGCTGCATGTGCAGGTGTGCGCACACAGTGCCGCCTTGCTGCTGAGGGGGAGTGACACATGAGGGGACAGTGGACCTGCCAGCCTGGCCTCACCTTTGAGACTTTGGTAGCAGTTATACAGTAAGTGTGCTGCTTTCTTTTCTGGGAAAAGTGTGTAAGCTCTTACAGTACTGAACTGAGGATGAGATGAGGCTGTTTCTTTGGCTGAGATGTCAATCTACCAGCTGGTCAAGGCATTGGTGCTGCTGCACCCCCTGTCTTGAAGTAGTTTCCATCATATACAGGGTTTAGTTTGGTTCAATGGCTCTCAGCAACCCTGAGTCAAGGGTGATACCACCGGAGGCTATAATGACTCCTACAAACCCTTGCTTGCCAGCTTATTAAAATCATTCCTAACTATCCACCCAAAATTCAGCAGTGTCTTGTCTTTTTTTTTTTTTTTTTTAAAGTTCTGTTTACAATATTAAAAGGGAAAGGGTAAAGTTTCTGTATTTCCCCTTTCCTAGGAGGTAGTAGCACCATGTAACTAGAAATCTTACTTTGTGCTGGCTTTCTGAAAACAAACTGCCAGTGCTAAATAAATGCTTGAATCCAATACAGAAAAAAAATAGGGCAAGAGCGCCGTCTCATCTAAACTGCTTCATGTTCTTATATGAAGGAAAAATGCACATTTTGAAAACCTCCTTGCAGTGTCTGCTCTCACTCGACTTCACTCTGCCCCCAGCAAGTCAAGTTCTGATTTAAATAGAACAACATTTTGCACTTGAGTTCTCCTTGAGAAATAGACCTTAAAAGGAACAAGAGTAGTTTCAAAATGAGCCTGCTTATCTTCCAATTGTTCCTCACACCCACTCTGCATACACCACCCAGCCTTTGCATGATTTACTGTACTCCTCTCCCCCCACCCACCCTCCTGTGCTCCATGCGGGTGCTATCAGAGCACTGCAACAAGAGACCCCAAGCCCTCTCTGGCAGAAGGGAAGGAGATGAAATACAGTTGGACTCACCAAAACTTCGTCAGCTGCATCAGCAGCTTGCATGTTGCCACAAGCCAGTTCTAATTACATTCTCAAATCTGCCTCCTACTATTTCAGGGGTCTGGTAGCCTACTGATTAAATGCACTGCCTTTTCACCGATGGAACCTCTGTCTACACAGCAAAGAAAAACATGGGGCTGTTTCATTACTGTGTAGGTTTCCAGGCTCAGGCTGGAGCCCAAGCTCTGAGACCCTCAGACATCTCAGGGCTCTGGAGCCCAGGCTCCAATCCGAGCCTGGAAGTCTACACAGCACTGAAGTAGTCCTGCAGCCCAAGCCCTGGCTGTCTAGTTGCTGCGTAGACATGTCTTTAGCTTCATATCAAGGCCAAGTTTTGGACCTGGGTTGTTCAGTCCAGTTTCTAGTGGACAACTTGGTCTACTTCTCCAGTCATAAAACAAGAGAACTCCATCATGCAGAAAAAGGCAATGTTGTGCTGTTGAGTGTAAGGAACTTAACAAATTTGAAATGCTTTACTTTATTGGTATTAAGAGAGCAGTAAGTAACATTTCTATAGAGACATTTTTCCAGATTGTTCAAGCTTCCCAAAGTGTGCGTGCAGAGTGTTCATCTGTCAAAACTGTAACTTGCTGTAAGTAGTGAAGGGCTGTGGAACAATCTGCTGCTAGTTATGAACACAGCAACCACACAACCTGATTTGATCGGTGCTGGTTTTGTTTATGAAAAATCACCAAGGAGTGGTAGTTTCAAAAGCACTCAGTGTTGGCCTAACTCTACGGCCACTGTCTTCAGTAGGAGCAGTTAGACCATGGCTGAACAGTTCTGAAAATCGGAGTTCTTGCTAGGAGCTCCTGACTGACTCTCACATTAAAGCTGAGCAAAAACTCCCTTGCATTTGTTTTTAACCTTTAACTTCCTCCTGAGGTAGAAAATATCCCATTGTTGTAATGCTGTGGTGATCATACTAAACACCCTTCCCACAACACAATTTGTTTTGAAGCCCAAAAGAATTCTGCTCATAATTATCCTTATTGGACAACTGAGTTCCTGGCAAACTACCCCTCTAGAGTATTACTTGAAGTTCAACTGGAATTCAGGTCTTCCAGGTGGAATTGTCATACGTAAGACTTATTAGAGTTTCTAGAAACAAATCTTCCATTACAGTTTATACTGCCAGACTATTAAGGACAGCTGTTATAAACAGAAAAGAAAAGGGGGGCTATTCCTAGCATTCAGCAGTTCCACCCTTTCCCATAAAGTGCTGCCTTTTTAAAAAGCTGGAGTGTAATTAGGCTTATCAACTGCTGCAAAAGAGACAAAGATTATAGAGTTGTCCTATTAGAGGGAGGTGCTGACAATTAGTCATTTACATTATATTTTTAGCTTATGGGAAATTTTTGAACATGTAATTCCACCTACTGTTTGGGAACTGGCAGAGGTAAAGCTCTGACTATGGTACTACAGATTATGGCAACAGAGCTTTTGATTAAGTCACTGCTTTGACACTGCCAGAGCAAAGAGGTCAAAGACTAAACTGGCATGGAGAAAAAATTAAGGCCTCAAACCTGCAACTGACTCCATGCAAACACACACCTACCCCACATGTAGTGCCCTGAACAGTGCTGAGTCTCTGTGGGTACAGGGGACTTACTGCCTGAGTGGCTCTCAGTTCAGGAATGGACCCTAACTCTATACCTTAAGAGATGGCCATTCCAGGTCCCAACTGGGGCACAGTGACAGACTCCTGTGAGAAAGTAGGCGTTCCAT